AAAATGGCAGATTCGGATTATAGATACACTAACATTTAATTAAAATATTTATAGGGCATTCGTGGATATGACTGTTGCCGAAAAAAGTCGAGGACAATCTTCTCAGTAGTCTCTGAATTTCTAAGTAGCATCTCAATGAACTCTGTCGTATTTACTTTGAAATTGTGTAAGGGCTGGGGAAGGTATGACAATGTCCAAGTACGAAGACGTACATAATACCACCAGCCAGGTGTGCTCAAGTTCCTACAGGCGATATTACTGCTCGATATACACACCTTCCGAGTTCTGTCTTACACAAATAAAAACCAGTTCTGGACCCACTTCCATAAAATGGACCACCGAAAATAGCCACTGCACCTCTGAATAGTTGCAGAACCTGAGTAACAATTAACCTTTTCGAGTTGCTCAGTCGCCGAAGACGTGATTTGAGGTTAGGGTATACTGTCAAAAACGGCAACAGTTCCGCACGTTAATAAACCGGGATGTCTCGGACCAGCCCGGTGGGGCATTGGTGGTGCGAGCATGACTACGAAAATATCAGATGAGACGAGGAAGCCTCATATGGACACCAAGGGGTGCCTGGAGGTACCAAAAACTTCTTAGCGAGGCTTTCCTGTTTAGAGGCAAGGTTGTTTTTTAGTTGAAACAATTAACAGAACTTTTAGACGTGTTTTTGATGTACTATATATTTCAGATCTTGATTGGGATGAACGGGATAAGACAAGCAGGTGAAAAGTAGAGAGTGGCCCTGTATTATATAGTGTAAAATGGCATCACTGGGTATGTGGTCGATGTTTTAACGGCTCTTATCAATTTGCTACTGGTACTTAAGTACTTCCAATAAGACAATATTTATCGCGCCTCGATGTCATCGCCTTTCCACACCGTTTATTTTCGTAACTCTAAATTATCGGGCTTGCACCTTATCCTTATCCAGGTTGCTTGTGCTGATCCGAAAATGAAATCGGCACACGACAATGGAGGGGAAGCGAGCAATGAGGTGAGCGATGAGGTGAGCGATGAGACGTTCTATACTCGAAATCGGGTACTAAAAAGGTGGACACTGTATGCTAGTCACGCAATCATATTGGGGTCTGGAATGAACGAAGAATCTCGTGTTACAGGCACGTTATAATTCTACCTGGTACGATAGATACATCAACAAGTTTCAATATGCGAATTCGATTAATAAATAGGTGTTAGAGAGACGTGCTGGGACGCAGTTTAGGCGTTCTGAGTCTGGGTGGTGGCAGGCTGAGAAGGCTTCCAGGTGAAAGAGTAGACACCAGACCAAGAGGTCCAGGAGAAGTCAACCTGATCAAATCGATCGAAGAAACTGGAGGTGGCTCGAGAAGGCATTGTGGGTGTTTGTGTGTGGGGGTGGAGAGTGGTTGGGTGGAGAGTGGCTGGGTGGTTGGGAGGTTGGTTAGAAACCGGGTTGGTTGTAGGAAGAGAGATGGAACGGATTGTTTGATGAGAAAAGAGGTAAGAGATGGCACTCTATATATACTTGATAGGAGATCAGTCACACGATATCGAGGCTGATTGCTGCATATCGTCGCATCTGGTTAAGGTTTGGCGGGTGTGCTAAAATAGTGTGTGAAAAAATGTGGCTTGGAATAAACTGGAAATTTGGGGATGCTCTAGGGGTCGCATTGAAAAACTGAGAGTTTCACAATAGACTTGAAACTCCCAGAATCATTTTGACATAAATTTCTCTTGCCAATAACTGATTTCCATTTCTTTAGCTGCTCTTATGTTCTGACTCAGATACCGATGTATTTCACGTTAGACTCATTCTTGAAAAACCTAGTTTAACGCCTGTAATCAGTCACTACTTTTCATTTATCGCCATACATACATATCTTACATCACTTGGGAGATAGTGGAAAAGCTTATATTCCGTGATTCAGGGTCCATGTCAAACCATTCACATTGTGCGCTATACCCCTTTTCTACAAGTAGGGAGTTACTAAAGTAGTGAAACAGGTAAAAGAAACACAAGTAGTGAGGTGACAAAACTGAGCGTGTTTGTTCCCCATCGTCTAGCTGAATGAGTGCTGTTTCAGCCACCCCTCATCGCTTTTTTTACCCCGCTTGAACTGTTAACATTACTGAATGCATCCTTCTCATCTCAACGTCTTTTTGTGCTGGGTGTTTTGAGTTATCGGGTTAACGGACTGGTAAAAGAGTCTCGTAGAATACAGAGCTTTGCCAACTAGAAGGTTGCACTCTCTAAGAAGCGCTGATGGCTTATACACCCTCGTCGCGAGTACCACGACTTAGGCCAACTCCCTTCACTTCGAGCCACTATTTCTACCATCCATCCATGCCACACTTCCAGTCGTCCAGGATAGGCAATTTTGATCGCATTTCTGGAAGGGAGGATCCCAGACACAATGTGGGGAAGGGTCTTAAAGGTGGGGAACAAGACAAGGGGAAAGGGGGAAGCTCGTGATGTATGAATTACAAGACTCTGTAAGGAGGTTTGGTCGTGGCTGGTGAGGAGGTGTCTTTCTGTTGCTGTTGAATTGGAACAATGGACCCAAAAGAACGGAATAACAGGCGCCCGGGTTCCACAGCAGTAAAACGCGTTGGAGATAGGTCAAAATGGTATGGTATAACGTTGCCTTTGACCTTTTCGTAGCTTGTTACATATCCGTCCAACCTTCTGACACCTCCACCGAACACCGAGGGTTCCGTTAGACCTAGACACGTTCCCATTGCTGCCAGAAATACGACGATATTACCAAGATGGTCAAAGTTTGGAGAGTGAACCACTGCACACCCCCCACTGGCTGTAACTATGTATTGTACACCATTGGTGCACTGGTCTCTATTGCTCAATTGACACATATGTACAATATGTAACATGGATGGTAAGCAGGAATGTTCACCGGAGGGCTGAGAAGTTGTTGTGGAACAATATTATTAGGATGAACTCATACAAAGAAAATGCTTCAACTTGTGGTTCGGATAGCTTACTGTATAAACTCAGAATCACCGATCGAGGAGGAGGAAGGGTGTGAGGAGGTGAAGACGGGTTGAAGGCCAAAAATGACATGGGGGCTCCCGAGACTGAGGCAAAACCCTTTTCGGGCAGGATCGTACTTCTGAAGTTCTGCGTGCTGAAGATACAAGGACCTTTTTTTTAATGTATTCATGAACACAACCCGAGAAAGCGGGGTTACAGATGGAACAGATTTTTGCCTGTACAGGGTGTTTGGCTTTTATTTGATCTTATCAATATATTCTTTGGTGTTGATACACTCAGGAATTACCAATTTTTACCCTATTTTTACTTCAAATGACCCATTTTGGCATTCGTTCTTACTTCATCTGATCGAAAGCATATCAGCATATCAGCATAAAAACTGCAGCACCCAGCGTGACCTTTTCACTGTCACAGGCCACGGCCCAACAGATACCAAAGGAAGTATAACTTCACCCACACACTTGGATATTCTCTGATACCAAACTAATATCAGCTCATAGCAGATGTGAGTTTTCACCTTCAATGATACCCTCTAGAGATACTGACACAGATAGCTCCCTAGGGGAACCTATCCTACCCAAAAGTTAACCCGTTGCATGAAAAACGTCACCTGGATCAAACGAAATGAAGCGACCAATATCCTCTAGTTCCCAGAGCCCGAATCCACGGCCTGCTCCTAGGCAGCCATCGCCTACTCTTCAGCACCCTCGACCCAAGCACCCTACTCGGTTGAACCGTTCTCGTATGATAGAGCCCTTTCCGCCTCCAAGGCCTTCAGAACTGAATCCGCCATCTCTATCAACAAGAGCCCCGAGTCATACACCCTATGGGCCGTCCGTTCCTGCTTGTCTCCACAATTCTGTTTCTGGTGCAGTTGAGGGTTCGTCAAATCATTCACACGAGAATATTAGTGACTCTAATAGTGTATACACTGGATCTCTATCTAATGGCACCTTCATAATGACTCCACTGAACCCACAAAGTAGCTCAGATACGACACGAACCACATCAATTGCGCCCCAGTCAACTGCACGACATTTGCCATTTACTCCACCTCTCCCATACCAGAGTTTTTATCACACCCCATTTCAGGCAAACCCTAGCAACCAGCTTTGGTCTGGGCATATACCTCAAGAAGCATCTCAAGTACAACATGACTGGCAGGCACAACGCCAGTATTTTCGATCCCAATACCCATCACTAGAGCCTGACCGACAACCGGCACTGCCACCATACCATCCTCCACCCACACCTCAAGCTCAACCCCGAACCCTGAGTCTCACACTTCCACCGTTGAATGGGTATGTACAAATGCAGGCTCCACTTGAGCCTCCAAATCTACCGCCTATAGAGCCGGTTCCAGTTTTGGCTCCATTGGCTGCTCGCTCACCTCCAGACCACCGGCTCTACCCTACGTATACGAGCACACCCAGGAATTCACCTGCCACCCTCTTACTTCAGTGTGACCTTGGTGATTTGAAGGATAAAATGAAAGAACGTCGTAGAGAAATTAATTCTCTGAACTCTCAAAAGCAACACTGGGCGCAAGAACTTTTTCAATTCGAAAGAAGCCGTCTTTCAAGTCAGCTGGAAGGGCTCCGCACGTTCGAGGCAGCTGAGACAGTAAGTTTCGCCTCAGCTCAGAAAGACTACTTCGATCTGCTTGAAGAAACAGACTACACTGAAAATGTTGGTATTCTGGGTCCTCTAACCATTCTGTTGAAGCTTGAAGAAGTTGTCGCGACGATGACCACGGAGTATCAATGGTGCAAGGACGTGTTGACCAACGCGGGAGTAGATGTTCATACTGATGAGGAGGATTAATAAGATGAGTACTACACCCAGTAGACAGAATTGCCTAATAGAGAAGTGATGAGAACAAAATTCTAAAGTCAGCTATAAGCAACTAGCCACACTAGCCAGGAGCACGCATGATAGAAGGGGATGTAAGTACAGAGTAAAAGTAAAAAGGAGGCAACATATCTTCTTTGAAGAGAGGCAAAAATGACATCCGAGAGATTCGAACTCTCGCCTCCGGAGAGACCAGGATATTGATTCAGTCACCTGAACCTGGCGCCTTAGACCACTCGGCCAGAATGCCAATTCGTGATTTTCGAGAGACTTTTGCCAATAAGAGTTCAAAATTCTTTTTTTCTAGCGGCCAAATTTTTTTAAAAAAACGGCTTCAATAGTGTCTTATCATATCTATATGGCCTTTAGACATGGTTGCATGAAGAATTTTCCAGCATGCATGAACAACAGGGAAGTCAAGAAGAAGTATTCACTCCAGTATGTACATATTGTGGCTTCCTTCCAAATGGTCATGTGGAGGCTTAAGGCTTTCAAAAATCTTACTTTAATAATAAAAATGAATCCCACTGACGACTAAACAAGTATTTGACAAAAGTCATCATTGTGGATCAAAAAAATGGAGCACTCCAAACATGTCAACTGAGGGATTCGAACCCTCGCCTCTTGCGAGATCCGAAAGCCAGATTTCTCTCGCTAAGCTTACACTTGAGTCGGACGCCTTAGACCACTCGGCCAAATTGACGGAACTGCCAAAAATAGAAAATGTGGGAACTACTATCCAAAATCTGGCCAAAAAAAAATGTATTTCCCTAGAATCAAAAAAAATATTTATCCGGTCACGACGAGGACAAGAGGAACAGCGAACTCGAAAATCGCTTGTTACGTCTTTACAGCTTTTTTTTTTTTGCAAATCCGAATCCGAATCCGACGTGCGGGTTTAACATTGTATAGGCCTTATTTAGCTAAATGTATTTCCCTAGAATCAAAAAAAAAATAGCAGAATAAAAAAAAAAAAAATAGCCTGGCTTGCCAGGTATATAGTTGTAATGTATCTTCAGAATAAAAAAAAATGGTTGTAATGTATCTTCAGAATAAAAAAAAATCCCAAAACTTAATTACGTCGTTAACCAAAGGGAGGAATCTTCCAAACAAGCTTTCAGCCTGTGACACGTCTAACATTGGAGTAGAGACTCCTGGTGACTCCTGAATTATATAGAAGTAATTAACCATTTGATAATATCTACTGAAGGATCAGTTCCTTCTTGCAAACAAATCTGATTACCAATCATGACGTGATTTAAGTGTTAGCCTGCCCATTACCCCACACAAAACGCCACCTCTCAACTTTATTTTAACATGAACGTATCAGTTGAATGGCCTTCTACTCCAGAAAAGATCCAATTGGAGGGTGTGAATGCAGAAAACAGATTAGATTGGTTTACTAAAAGATATTTATACCTCCTCTCTCTTGTTCCATTTCCACAGTAGCCAGATCATTCGCTTTTTGTGTGTTAGGTTCTTATCCGACATTGCATGAAGGTGCATGAGTTCATGTGAACAAAAAATATAATAGTTCATTCTTTAACCAACTATTTCCTCACACTGACATACCCTGGTACAAACATACAGAGATACAGCAAAACCAACGCAATGCTTGCAGTCATCTCTGATAATCACAGTCTGAATCTTCGAAATACACCTAAGGCAGAAATAGCTGATCCTAATGACATTCTCGTGAAGGTGGATTATGCTGCTCAGAACCCCATTGATGTGATTCTCAATGATAACAAGATGCTGAAGGATGGAAAAATAGCGGGTAATGACTTTTCAGGTACCGTTGTTGCCATTGGGTCGGGTGTTAGGGACCAAAAATTGGTTGGTAAACGAATTGCCTCCTTTGCAGATGGACACAACAATGACTACCCATCGGGCTCCTTTGCCGAGTACGCCATTGCAAAAGACGGCATCTACACCGAGCTACCGGACTCAGCCAGTAGTGTTGAGGCGGCAACTATTCCTCTAGCATATGTCACTGCTGTCCATGGTCTGTTCTCTTCTACTCGACTTAATTTGGAGAGGAAACCATCTCAGACCGTTCTCATATGGGGAGGTAACTCATCTGTGGGGCGTTATGCACTACAACTGGCCAAGCTTAAAGGTCATCGCGTTATCACTACCGCAAATGGTGGCAATGACGATGAACTAATCAAACTAGGCGCCGACAAGGTATACTATTACCGAGATGCAGCCGTAGTAGACAAGGCTGAGAATGGTTCCATCAAGTTTATTTTTGATGCTATTGGAACAGCTTCTTCGGCCTCTGCGTGTGCTCAAACAGCATCTAACCCCAGTCACTACACTACTGTCAGACCTGACGCTGCCCATACTCAGGGCTTTCCCAAGTATATCACCATTTCTACCATTATCGTTTATCAGGTGTTCTTTACAGGAACAGAGGAGGCTGAACTTGGAGACAAGTATCTCAAAGATGCTTCCACTTGGTTAAAGACTAGAAAGCTGGTATGCAATATACCCAAGATCGTTGGAGGCTTGGAAAGAGTTGGAGAGGGATACCAGCTTCATCGGAAGTATCAGATCAAGGGTGTCAAACTCGTCTATCGAGTCGGAGAGGTGGGAAGACTCTAAGTGATGCTGCTATATATTTTCTTGGGTGCAATCTATATAATCTAACATTTATCCTAGCTTATCGGAATTTGACACATTGTAACGAGCAAATAAGTGGATCCCCAAGTGCCGTTTACCAGATCCCTTTGTTTCTCCAAGTTTTAGTGTGTTTCAGAGAAGTCCTGATGAGTTCCGCTGGGGCAGCCATTCATCAGTGGAAGGTTCGAATTATGTGCCAGAATTGCTGGAATTGAATTTTTTTCAATACGCGCTTATACAGTATTTGGTAATTATTTTTTCAATATTTTTTTTTTTTTCAATATCCCTCTTTTTTCTCCATCTTGTTTCATCACTTCTCTCAGCACAATTTTGACTCAACTTTTACACTTTTTGCCACGCATGGAAGCAGTTATCATGGGTCTTTCGTTCAAGTACTTTATTTAAGGAGGCAAAAGTGAACTCATTTATAGTAGATATATTGTCCGTTAGCTGTGATTCTTCAAATCAATGTGATACTGTTATTTTTTAATAATCATCCTCCATTATTCAGATTCTCGCATCAAAATTATTGAACCACCCAATTGCCACAATTGAACAAGGTTTTAACTAGTTTTCCAACTCAAACCTAATTTCACGTGATATATACTCACGATGATGTGCATAATGCGCCATCGCAGTAACTACGAGTCACACACCTACGCGATACACGACCTGCGCACACACTAGATCTCAGCATGTGTCGATTTCTGATTTTCAAAGGTGAGTATATCGGCTATTGTCACACGAACAAGACATACTAACGCAGGAAAGGAGCCTATCCTGCTGGCTCATCTGCTAACCCGTCCAGCACATTCCATTATCAAGTGAGTATCTTTTGCAAAGTTGATTTCTTTGATCTGAGCATGAAACTAACGTAAGCCAATCATTTGATAGTCGTCTACGACTTGATATGACCCGTCCTATCAATGGAGATGGTTTTGGAGTCGGTTATTACACCATGGACCGTGATTTGGAACTAGATGCTGGTCCCTGCGTTTTCTGTGCCATCACTCCAGCCTGGAACAACACCAACTTGGCTCGACTCGCCAACAAGACCAAGAGTGATCTCGTTTTTGCTCACGTCAGAGCGTCGACTTCTGGAACTCTCTCTGAGACCAACTGCCACCCCTTTGTCTACCACAACTTCATGTTCATGCATAACGGCAACCTGAGTGGCTTCAGCAAGATCAAGACACGTCTTGTTCGGCTCATGGACGAAGAATACTTCAACGTTATTGAGGGAGGAACCGACTCAGAGTGGGCCTTTGCTGTGTTCCTGGATACCCTTAACAAGTTGGGCTGTGACCCTGCTCGAACCGATATCCACCATCCCCATGCCAAAATTCGGGAGGCTATCATCAAGACTATTGAGATCATTAAAGAGGTGATAAAGAGCGTTGGAGTGACCGAGTCGGAGCCCAGCTTGCTCAACTTTGCCGTCACTGACGGTGAGACCGTTGTGTGTTCTCGATACATTACTTCCAAGACAGAGGAGGCTGCCTCTTTGCATTTCTCGTCGGGATCGAGTTTCTTCGAGTACAAGCCTGGCCAATACCGAATGGAGCGACACGACAAGTCGCAGAACATTATCATGGTTGCCTCTGAGCCCCTCACTTTTGAGCGAGGAGACTGGATCACCATCCCCACAAACACCATTGTCACATTAACCAACCAAAACGTGTTGTTGCATCCTGTGATTGACGAGTATTACGTGAAGGATCCTACTCATCGACGAAGCAGTGCTCTTGCAGAGTCCAAGGGTCTGGCCTCCCCTGTCCACATGATCAATAACCCTCCTGGGGTGCCTCCTCTGGGAAGGGAGGGACGGGACATTGTTGAAGAGGTTGTTGCATAATTGGGCGTGGCCAAAAATATGTAGGAGCAAGTACTTGAGCAATTAATATAATTTATATGGCTGATAAGAAAGCAATTGTTTATAATAATGGTGGTGCAATTGTAGTCATCCTGCACAGTTTTCGCCACTGTGTTGATACTCTTATTTTTCAGTCTAATCATACTGGGAACGCCACTGAAACATAATACACATTGACTCATTTTGGGGAGACGAGCCGCACCGCGAGTAGTCATACGGTAACATGGCCACTTGTACGACGAGTACTTGTGCCAGGGAGCTTGAATCGTATTACATATCTACGACGCGTACAGTTTACACAAGTCGCCACAGCAACACGTCCAGATTACTAACATCTATTATATACACCGTAGAGTTGAGATTTACTTCTTCTGGTGGGCGAGCCAGTCGTTGTAGGAGCCAGCGTAGTTGGCTCGCTGCTGGTAGCCGCAGGTCTCGGCGAGAGACTCGGCCTTGGAGGATCGAATGCCGGCCTGGCAGTAGAAAACAAGCTCGTCGTTAATGTCGGGCTTGGGGAAGCCAAAGGTTCCCTCAAACTCGTCGGCGGACAGAGACAGAGCACCAGGAGTAGACTTGACGGGGATGTTAATGGCGCCGGGGATATGGCCAGCCTTGAACTCCTCAGGCTCTCGCACGTCGACGAGGATCATGTTGTCGTTGTCGCCCTTCAGAATGTTGTCAGACAGGGCCTTGATGTCGGGGTAGGTGAGTTGTCGGCACTCAGAAGAGAGAGCGGAATATCGTCGCTTCAG